ACCCTTGATAAACTGTCGGTTGCCAAGTTACGCAACAGTTAGGAAAGCGGTGTTTGTCCGTGCCGAGCCGAGCCGAAGCGCGCTGTTTGCTTCGCAGCGTTGCCCAGCAACGCCTTTGTAAACACGCCGGAGTAAATAGAAGCATAAATAATTATGATACTGCCGATGGCAGTAATTGTGAAACTGTAAGAGCGAGTGGAGTAAATTCGCTATATTCAAGACGGCGTGAAGTTATGTGTCGTGTTATATACCCAACATGTGACAGTATGTTCTCATTTTTGTTGTGATTGTCTGGGTTATGACACGGTGTATTGTAGTAAATGTATACCAGAATTTCGGAGGAACATGCTGCCTCCATCTTCAGTGTAATTTATACTTCTGAAACGTTGGTACCCACCTATCAGACTAGTGTACACTGTCATAACCCTGGAGACTACAGCTGTGCGTTTTGACCACCCAGCAGACATAAGTCAACGTTCCAGCGGAAAGAGTGTGCCTCTTATACAGGTCTTAAGCTATTTTCCTGCGGAAGGAGTGCTCAGTGATGCAGTTGGATCGTTACCGATTGAGCCATCTTGCTCGGTAACCTTCATATCGGCCTAGCCGAAGCGAGGGCTCGGCCTGCAGTTCCCCTGCGCGAGAGCTGGGGCTCTCACTTAGACCCCTAGGCAGGACGTACGTTGCGTATGCGTCACCCTGAGCAGTGACGGACCCAGCAGTTGTGAACATGGCATTGCCCGACATTTGAGTTTGTAGTTTGCTTACTGACGCTTCATAAAACACGCAAATTGAAATAGAGAACGCTCTAATTTGTCCTGTGGTTTGAATGCTTGTGAAACTTGGTTTCTCATATTATAAGGACGGTCTGAGGAGAATATGTGGACCGAAGAGAGATGAAGTGACGGGAGGAATCTCATAATTTGTACTCTTCGCCGAATAGTTAGCGTGATCAAATCAAGGCTGGTCTTGTAGCACGCATCTGAACGAGCAGACGTTTGCACGACGTGTTGGTAGGAAAGCCAGAAGGACGGAGACCACTATGGATGTTTAGGCATAGGTGGTAGGATACTATTAAAATGAACCTTAAAGAAATGCGTTGTGGGCTGGATTAATCTGGCTCTAGATAGAGACCATTGGAGTGTCTTTGTGAATACGACCATAAACCTTCCAGTTTCGTAAAATACCAAAAGCTTGCGTGGCTGAGCAACTTTAAGCTTCCTAGTAGGAACAAAGCTCCATAGAGCCGATCATACATACGTAACGTCGGTTGCCCGCGCCATAGCTCAAGCGGATAATCGCTGGCTTCCCACCGCGGCGGCCCGGGTTCGAGCCAGGGTCTGGGCAGTGGGATTTGTGGTGGAGAAATTGGCGCTAGGGCAGATTTTCTCCGAGTACTTCGGTTTCCCCTGTCAATCTTCATTCCACCATATTCTCCATCATCAGAATCACCCGGGGCATGTACAATAGGTCATTCAGTGGCTGATGTGCCGAGTGGACCCAACTGGATTCCACGTAACGTCAGATAGTGGGATGGGTGAATGATGAATTGGGAATTGCATTTGGTAGTATCAGTTGAGACCCGGGTTGAAGCCCCGAAGAAACGCTCGAAATACCTGTTAGCATAGCCGATCTGAGGGCCGTGATTTGAACTTGGGACCTCTGAAATGTTGCAAGGCAGCAGATTTTGACAGAAGTCACTATGGCGAATGTTACGAGTAGCGCAAACATGAAGCCCAGTCTGCGCAGCCGCGCGTGTTGCAGATCGCCATCAGTGATGCCAATTCCAAACTGTATGTGTCTTGATGTCGATTAGAATAAACGAATGCTCACGACCGGTAACCTACGTAGATGACACTAGTAATTCGCACATGCCTGACGTCATAACTGAGCAAAACGGATGGTGCACTGGTTCATATGTTAACTTGCAGTAATTGTAGTCATTCTGTGTTTTCTGTAGTTTATCTGGTGCACACGACGTTTAGAATATTGCCACTGTCTTCAGATTACTTAAGTGTTGAGTCGTTACCGAAACGTCTTTTTTTCCTTGGTTTAGTTTGCGGGTGTGTAAGTAAACTTTGTAGCGTCGTGCGGTTTGATGAAGGATGAACGATGAACTTGAAGGAAGCGGTCATGGCCTATTCAAGGCACTAATTCATTTGCCCGGACTGACTGAAGGAACGCCCAGAAATTCTTGGTCAGTATAGCCGATGTTCCACCGATCATAGTGGCCGCACGGTCTAAGGCATGAACTGTCTTCGCACGCTGGGATCATGAGTTCGGATCCCACACAAGGCGTGGATATTTGTCTGCGTTTATTCTGTTTTGTGTAGGTAGCGGCCTTGCGACGGTGTGATCCCCCGTTCAAGGAGTCCTACTGACTGTGTATAAGATTAAGAAACTGAAGTGATACAGAGTGTCTCAGGGATGCCCTCGCAACAGGAAGGAGAGCGAGAGAGATACCCGGTGTCCCGACCGAGATGCGAACCAGTCACTCCCGAAATGTGAATCCAAACCTTTACCTCTGCGCGAATCATCTGGGTCTGGAATGTTACAACAAATACAGTATTGGTATATTGAATCAGCCATTGTCCCTCAACCTTTCGAGAATCGAACTCAAGCCCAATCTGCGAACTCTGCAACACTGAACTTCACATCGTGAGGTTCTAGGAACTTAAGGCGATGACTGTGAAGATTTCTTTCTTCTGGTATGTGACGCCGTGTTGTCTGGTGCATCTTTGCCAACTTCCAGTAGGACCGTGGTCGTTGGGGCGTACAAGAATTCATAATAAGAAGCTTCGTTTGAAGCCTGTTGTTATTGCGAGATGCCGCCTGGCCGGCATGTAGGTTGTGCGCCCGGTGCTGCTGACGTCATGATATTGATGAAGGAGGGGCGAAGAGTGACTTGAATATCAGTTGGCGGCTGATACTGATCAGAGGACGTCCTCACTGACTGCTGTGACCTGTCACACGGTCTGATTCTATCGGATAGAAAGGTGAAAAGAAACTTGTCGCTGTGCCTAAGGTCATCTGGAATGAAACTCCGTCTAGTCTGGTAGATGAGGGCAGCAAACAAGTTGATCCGAAGCCCTGAGAACTATCTACCAAGCTACATAGCGTCATATATTGCGTAAGGGCTTTTAAGATCTGACACCGTTTATTCTGGTAGTGTACGTGCCCTTAAGATGGAAAAAACATGTTAATTGGTAAGAGTAGTACCGGTCTACCAAATTACACGGCGTCGTCACATCTCAGAATAACTTGTTTTTGACTACTAAATTTTGGCCCTGTAGCCTAACATATTGTTTCCCCTCGATATGGAGGTAGGAGATCCCTCCTTAACATTAGTGCCGGTCCACCAAACTACACGACGTCAAGTTTCACAAGGCCATGGTCTTAGAAATTAAGTTGCCCCCTATGGTAAAGCCCCATAATATGAAAACATGGAGGTTTGGAGGTGTACTTCCACGCATTCTTAACTTACGTGGAGTTAAGTTTTTAGTTTGACGCTCTGGCCGCTTTATCTCCAGCGCCAGTTACGTAGGAGGTTGGATATGGGCGTAGTTCTCTTTTTGGGAATTGAAACAGTGATTCTGTCCTTAACCAGTCACGTTATTGACTGAGCTAACCTGGCTCTTGACAGTGAAATGTCGCCAGGAACAGTGCCCCCCCCCACCGAAGCCATCAGTGATGGATGACACATCGGGAGGGGAGGACGTCTGATAATTCCCAGCAGAAAAATTTGCCTGATTTTCCCCGTGAGATAAATCTGCTCTCGGCAATTTTAGTTTCTCTCGTCGCATGTTGTGCTGAAAGGCTGACAGTGCGATTAGTTTTCGGCGTATTAGCAACGAGAAGTTGTAAAAGTGCGTCTGTCCGCGTGTAACAATTCGATAACCGGCGAACCGATTTTCATAAAATATAGTATTGGTGAGCTAGACTGCCTCTGTGGTCTAGTGGTCAGAGTTCCTGGCTACAGATCCAGCGATCCCGGATTCAATTCCCGGCGCTACCGGATTTTCTGAGAAGTAGTGCGTCTGGAACGGGGTCCACTCAACCTCGTGAGGATAATTTAGGATCTATTTCAAGAAAATAGCGGCTCCGGTCTAGAAAACCGAAATTAACGGCCGTGGGGATTCATTGCGCTGACCACACGACGCCCTCTATCCGCTAAAGTTGCCGACAAGCGGCGGTCGCTCGGTCGGTATAGTTCGCTTGCGGACTACAGACCCCGTTTTTTTTATTGGTCACTTGCACTAACACATGTGTATAGACTATACACCATAGGCGGGCATTGTGGTTGTGAATAGATTTATTGACCACTCACAGGACGTAACTACAATTATGGCTATTACGCTGTCGCTGATTTGCACGCTTTACAAATCACTACACGGTAAGTCTTCTCTAGACGTTTCCTGGTACCGGTTTTTAACAGTGGAGATTATTCAGCTTCGCGCGCTCGAGTCCTCTCTTCACAGACTCGCGTACAGAACTGACTTATCTCATAACTCCTGAGCAAGAGCGACGTAGAAACACTCAGTTTCCAAGAGTACCTCTATTTTTGCGCCTCAGTTTCTTGCTGTGGGAACTTGTTTACCGAGCCGTTGTCAAGAAACGGCCCTGATGTATCCGCCCATCTCGCGACCGTTGCGTAGCAACGGTTGTACACGCTACAGTACGTCAGCACGTTCGGGCAGACAGAATGACAAACATTTTTATTCTTATAATCACATGAAATTCATGAATACAGAGTTGTTTAATGCAAATGCATGTGCATGTAGTTACCGTGACGTTTGTCATGTCCCCTGGTTTCTGTATCGCTGCGAGGAATCGTCTGTTTGCTTGTGTAAATTCTTGCAGATCTGTTTCTCGTCGAATTCTGTTACATGCGACCACAAGCTGTGCTTCTGGTGCATCTGTGCGCAGGCGCGGTCTCCCTCAAGCAGTGAGATCACTTCTTGTCGATATAATTGTATTGATAGACTGACGTTCTGCATTTGCAGGTAACTTGGAAGTTTCTGCGATGGGCTGCTTCGGAAGCAAAGACAAACTTTCCAAAGAGGACATGGACTTTCTCAAATCTCACACTAGATACGATGAAGCAACAATCAAGGAGTGGTATAAGGGATTTAAGGTAAGCCTAATAAATATAGGTCCTTAGTCCTGTGCATGCTTTGGGCAAGATTCGATATTTAGACATATGAGCCAGTTGATTCCAATATACTCCCTCACGGTCTGTTCATGAAGGATCCGTTTTAATATTGTCTGGTAGAGTAGGTTGACATAAAGGAATGATCTAGACGCGGGAAGTGCTCGGGTTTGATCTCAGGTGGAACACTGACTATTCTGACTTAGGTTTCTGCGGAGTTCCTCACTCACACCAAGCAGTTGCCTGAATACGCAGCGACTATTTCCTTCAAAACCCTCTTCAGTTCATCATTAATCTATCACTAGCACCCGACTCTGTATGTTCGTGATACTAATCGCAAAATAAATAGTTCTCCCATAATATAATATTATTTTTGAGCATCCTACAGCACTGACGTATCACTCACTCATTCACTTCCGTCTTTAACGCAACCCAAAACTGTTCATAATCTCTCTTTAATTTAGAGTAACATTAAAATCACATCAGCTGCTGAATGTTTCGTCCTTCCTGGACCATCTTCAGGCAGCTGTTCGCTGTTTGAAAACCGTCGCACTGCACTAGAGCTTAAGTCAATATATTTGCGTGTCATTGCGTTATCGTTACTCTCACTAAAATGTGTTTATCTGAGAACAAAACTCTCTGTTCCAGTGTTATTTTCCTGTTTGCTGCCCATGTTTGTACCCCTTCATATGTACGAGTATGTTCTCACTAGCTGGGCGTATGTAGCATGGAAATATATTGACTTAAGCTCTGGTACAGTTTTCGAACAGTGAACAGTTGCCTAAAATGTCCGAGCAGGGCCGAAACATGTAGCAATATGTGATTTTAATGTTATCTTAAATGAAAGAGAGACTGAACAGTTTCAAGTTGCATTGAAGGTGGAGGTGAATGGGTGAGTGATAATTCTCCTGTCTAAGCCTAGGACTTCAGAATTTCCACCGACAGTTTTGTCGTTGCTTCCATCTTATCGTCTTTGAGTTGATGATCACCTCAGTACTTCGCGAAAAGCACAGATACAGTTTCTCCAGCCTCCTGTTCCCTCCGCCCCTCATCATCTCGTTCTCAGACGCTGTGAAGCCTTCCTTCCCTTAACGTAAGGGATGAACTTCAAACCTATTGAAACCAACAGCTGAATTGTAAAATTGTCCCTGTGCTTAACTAATTAAGCACTACGCCATGAAGGCGTAGGTGGGAGTGGATGTATAGACCCACGTTTTCTTGATCTCGGCACTAGCTGGAGGTGAGTGGTCAGCTTCACGCCCCTGCCGCTTTACCCCCGGTACCCGTTGGTTTGGAGGCTGGTTGGCCACCAGAGCCGGTCTGGACGACGTGGAGAAGAGAAAATTCTTGCCCCCACCGGGACTCGGACTCCGGCCCCTTCGTCGGTACTGACCTGACCTTTAGCTGGAGTGACTGAGAAAAACACGAAAATTAATAGGATAACGGGTGTCACAGTTGAAATTCGAAACGGTCACCTCTCGAGTACAAGTCACAAGTTGTAAGAACGCACGCACGTTCGTGACATGTACGTGTAACGTGATGCGTTCACTCCAGTAGCCCCAAAATCAGATGTGCGTTCCTCGTATATTTTAATGCCATCTTAGAGCAATATAAAATCGTTCCACGTTAGTATTCGTCCGGTCCAGGAACCAGAGTGTAGCCAACCTTCTGGAAGAAAAAAATTTATGTAAGTGTGTTTGATTTCCCAATATTTGGACCCAAGCGAGATAAAGTGGCGGGAGGTTGGAGAAAACTGCATAATGAGGAGCTTAATAACTTGTACTCTTCTCTGAGTATAATTAGAATCATCAAGTCAAGGATGAGATGGGCAGGGCTTGTAGCACTAATGAGTAGAATAGTAATGCATATAGGATACTGGTGGGAAAGCCAGAAGAAATGAGACGACTAGGAAGACCAAGATATAGGTTGGTGGACAATATTAAAATGGACCTTAGAGAGATAGAATGGGATAGTATCGGTTGGATTTACCTGACTCAGGGTAGGGACCAGTGGAGGGATGTTGTGAACACGGTAATGAACCTTCGGGTTCCATAAAATGCTGGGAAGTTCTTGAGTAGGTCCGCAACTGGCGGTTTCTCAAGAAGGGTTCAGCTCCATGAGAGTGATGTTTGAATTTGAGTACCGCAGTGTTGCTGAGAAAACAGTTCAGTGACGCTGTAGTGATGACGTAACGATATACGCCACTAAATGTCGACTTAGCGCCCTCGTTACCGTAGCAGGAGGAGTATACAAAATTGGGTGGATTTACTCTTGTGTGTATGTTCTGCAACGGCTGCAGTAACTGTATGTCGTCACAGAGTCAGTCAAGTTTCTGTATTGAATGTTCAGAGGGATCCTCTCTGATGTATCTGATATTTGTACAGCTCATTCTGCTTTCTTATTCAGAGTTAATTAGTTTAGCCTTTGGAATTAGCGGTGAGGGTATCATAAAGGAAGCATGCGAGCAAGTCCTTTAAGTGAAGTTTATGCAACATCTGATGTTGAAACACGTGTTTACCGTCGCCAGCTACTGGCGCACAGCGCTACGTGATCGCAAGAAAGTTGCTATAAACTCTTTTCTAATTTTTTTAATGCTAGTGGGGTGAGACTAAGTCCCTTGTACTGCGGCCAGTTCTGGCCTAAACTCTCGTAATCCGGTTACAGTTGGTCCCGATTTCGGATAATCCGGATAGAAATATGAGAAATTCTGTTCACAGTTAAGTACATACTTTAAAAGACGCGTGGGATTTAGAAGCAAGAGGACTTTCAGACTGTGTTGAGGGCAGTTGGAGAGACTGAAATCACGCAAGTAAATATCCAAGATTGGCTTCAGCTGGATGTAGGAGGCCCTGGATTTTGGCTTCTGTCAGAGAAAGAAATTGCTGCACTCATATCTTGCATTTATATGCATCAGCACTGCCAGTATTATTAAAATTTCCATTTATTGGTTTTCTGATATTTTTCTTTTGTTTTATTAATCCGGATTATCGCTTGATTCCGATGACGTCACTCTTCTTCCTATTTAATCCGGATTACCGCGTGTTTACTGCGCTCCCGTTATTCATACGCCGTTGGCGAGTACATGCTCGGAAAGGACTTTGCTTTCGAGGTGTTTCCTACACTGACGTTGGCTGCCCCCTAGGAGCAGCTGGACTGTAAAACAGATGAACACGCAGAATCTATTAGTAGTTGCCATGTCAGAGACTTTCAGCTATTGCTGTCAGCCTGTTGAGGTGTGATTTCAGTTCGGGTTACAATTATTTTTTATTTTTGGTGGATTATATTACGATGTGCCGATCACAGTGGCCAAGCGGTCTAAGGCATGGGCCGTCTTCGCCCGCTCGAACACTGAGGTCGTGGGTTCGAATCACACTAGAGGCATGGTTGTCTGTCCGCGTTTATTTTGCGTTTGTGTTGTTCTGTGTGTAGGTAGCGCTCTTGCGACGGGCTGATACCCCGTCCTAGGAGTCATACCAACTGTGTAGGATTAAGAAAGCGGCCCGGACCCAACAAAGGGCCGTGGAGACATAGAGAGGACATGAATGTTACGGTGTACGTAGCTAGACTGTATAGCATCGAATTGCAGAATGTTAAATGAATGATGAATTGGAAAGGATTTGGGAGGAAACGGCAATGGCATAATTGAAGTGCAGTCCCGGATTTGCTTGAGGAGACTGATGAAAACCACGAAAAAGCGTCAGGATAACCAATGTCCAGACACAGGACCTCCGGAGTACTAGCGTACAGTGCTTTTCTGCCCCGCCACCCATAACACGAGTGTTAGTGTACGTATTCATCTTCCGTTCAAGTTCTGCGTTAAATTGCGGCAACCTTGAATTGGACATGTAGGTCATACCTTGGCCCGCCTTGACGAGAGCCACGGAGTGTGTGTGTACTTTGGAGTTTTATTGCTTCGTTACAGAGCAAGAATACGACATAAGCAACGCTCTTAGTGACAGTGACCCCGAATGTTGATTCTGAACACACCCCGCTGGTATTGTGTGCTAATGTAACTGTGATCTGATGTCTGCAAGGACACTACTCGCTCCGCGTGTCTTGGCCACACACCCGTCGTTTATTTGTTCTTGGCGTGGCACTTCCAAGGTTATATAGCGTCTAATGATTGGAAGGAAGTGGTCGTGGCCTAATTTTTGGCATTTGCTTCCAGGTACTGAGGGAACCAATAAGTATTGTGCCGTATAGACCCATTGCTACGCAATGGTAAACTCGGTAAACATTCCCGCGGAAGCATACGCGCGCAATAACAGGACGTCAGTTGCTAGACAACGGTTCCGTAAACAAGCCTCAACAGTAGAGAGGCTGTGTTTCCTCCGTGTGTGCCAATGGGTGATAGAGGCACATAGAAGGTCGTTTAAGCGAGTTGTCAGAAGTTGAGAGAGTTCCGTTGAAGAAGAGTTTATTTGAATGAGTTGTCAAGAAATGGGCCCAGTTCTGGAGATGGCAGTCTAAGGCGATTGAGAAGAAATAAGAAGGAAGGAATTAGACTGTGACAAAAGGACTTCATATGTGATTTTAAGTGATAATGAGACTGTTACAAAATCCGTTGCCAGGATACGACTAGTGAAGACTGAGAACCCTAGTGCGTGGGTAACGGTGAACTGTAAAGTGTGTACATCAGCGATAGCGCTGTATTACCTGCAGTCCCGAGTTGTGTGTATAAGGTGTCAGTAAATCCAATCATCCAATCCAAAACCCCGTCTATAGTCACTAATACACGTGACAGGATCTTGCCATAGACCGTCTCGTGTAGGCTGGTACCCTCGTAATACAAAGCAAGAATGCAGATCACTCCACAGTGACGTCAGGTACACACAGTTTTGGCAGTATTGGTACATCTAACTTGGTGCATGTTGACTGTACATACTGTGAGGCGATGTGGTGTAAAAGGGTATAAGGAAAGAATCTCTTTAAGCCTGCACTTACATACTACCGCGGCCGCGCCATAGCTCAGGCGGTTAGTCGCT